ATGATTAGTATTCACAGAGCCCCCGATGACACTAACCTACCTAAAAGTTATGGTTAAACAAAGTAATTTGAGTGACTTAATTCTCAGCTCAGACATGATCATCGCAATCATTTCCCAAAGACGTGTGGGGTCCTGCGAGAGCAGGTCCCGACTACAAACAGCTGGGCAGCAGAATCGGAAGTAGCTGCGTCGCCCTCGACATGTGATGTTGCTGCTGTTGTTGTCGCTGCTGTGTTGCTGCTGTAGTTGCTTCTGTTGCTGTGATATACGCAGGGAGGTGATGTTCCGTGAGGGTGATTGACGCCTTTGATTAAAGCCTCTGATCAAACTCACCCGATTGACGCCCTGATCGTCGTATTTGATCCTGATATTGTAACTCTCACATGTTAAGCTCTTAACATAGTGAAACGTAATATTATAACCTATGAACTACAACACCATTGTAAACGCTGTAAAGAATATTACCTATTGGGTTCACTCCCATCGTCGAAAGGCCGCTCTCTTCCTTTTCTAAAGTTACATGCTAATTTCTCTGCATTCACTTTAAATCGAGACAACGTTTTCCATTTATTCAAAATAAGCGCACAATTACACACTGAGATGCACTTACATATTCACGCATGAAGCACAATGGGCACATTACCCTGCGGTATGTTAATAGACATGCGGATTGTTCCTTTCCAAAATTAACAATCGAATGCAAATATCCTGAAAGACAAAGGATTAGATCCTAGGGGGGGAGTTATAAGGCGGCTCAGAAGCAGAGTTCAATGCCATTTCGAGAGGGAACTTGATGAGGTTGGACGCTCGACTCGTCGCTCTGCTGATCGCCCTTCAACCGCGAGACAACGCAGCCTGGCGAGCACAATTGCTGTGTCGACAGTTAGGCGACTTTGCGTCGGGAGAGTTCGTGGCGACATCTTCAGACGGGTTCCAGACATCGATATACCGTGAATCTCCAAGTAAGTGTCTATTTTCGCGATTAAACTCTTAAACGTGTTCGCCGTCACATTAGCGAGATTTTTTTGCATCTCCGTTAGACGCGAGTGTCGTTCTTGTTTTAGCAGTTAACAAAATCCAAAACTCAACGCTAAACATCCTTGCTACCGATAGCGTACTTTTGACTCGATAACACCGCTACTTTTCGATTTAAAGCTTTCGTGACTGCAGGGATCCATCTTCTTGGTTCTTTCGGTAAAGTCACGTAGAAGGGAAGCAATAAAATAATAAAAATAAAACATAATAAAATAATTCTCACGACGTTTCGGCCACAACGCAAGCAGCCGTCCTCAGGTGAAGAATGAGACATTACCAAGCTAGGAGCTAATATATACGCTGCGTTGGAGGTGCAAGAGCGCCTTAACAAAAAGAATGTGCATATGAAGAGGAATTTAGCATATTCATGGGAAATGCGTAGGAGGTGGGTGGGGGGGGGGTTTCATAGTCATATTATGCCCATGCATTATGCAGGATCAACAGCACCATCAGTATACTTACTATACTCTACAATAAGCTGAGTTACTAACAACAAGTAATACATTACAATTCTACGTCGTAAAAAATTATATAATATGCTTCCATCTAAACTTTATTCTCTTACATCACACGAGCATACACCATACTATATACTGCCATAGATAAACCCAACATTAAATTATATACTGTATTGCTATAAACCTTATACATTTTAATATAACACTATGTATTATTCTACTCACCCTAATGTGTATCACACTGCTATATGTTTACTATACAATTACGATACTATATATTACTTTGTACATTGTATTAAGCATATAAATGTTATACTATTGTTATTATACGCTGTACCATTGACCGTCGTATCAATGGGTGAGTCGTGGGGGGGGAAACTTGCAGCGGAGCAAAGAATCCATTCCCTGCGGAGAATACAATGCCAGTGAGTGGAACGCGGTCTGAAAGTCACCGTAAACGTGAACACAATCAGTTAAGATCCGAAATGGTTTATTACGTCCTTCCAATGATTGCTAAGCCAGAATCCATCTCTCGGTTAAAATTGTCTCTGTGTTTGTATATGTGGATCGCCTCATGAACGAATCTCTCATGGTAGTCAGATGGCTTGCAGAGAACCTCTGTGTTGTAGAAGTCAATGTCATGTGAGCCTACTGAATTGTAACAGTGATCTACCACGGCTGAGGTGTTTGTCCTACCGTGTTTCAGGTCTGCTTTATGTTCACGGATGCGGTCCGAGACATGTCGTTTGGTTTCTCCAATGTAACTGCTACCACAGAGGCAACTTAGTTTGTAGACACCAGGGTACTGTATGTCTGGAACCACGTCTTTTACAGACGGGACCAGATCACGGATTTTATGTACTGTGTTGAATCGGACCTGTATCTAAGAATCACACTATATGCTCGTGAGTATGAAACATGTCTGTATGTAATATGCATGAATGTAATATGTCTGCATGTAACATGTTTGCATGTAATATGTATGTAATATGGACGTGCGAACCAAGGGTGCAATATGTGAAATGGAAGGTGCAGGATCAGGATGGGATTAAAATTATTTGAATAACACTTTGGTGTTATTAGGATCAAGCTATCCACTATTGGATGAATGTTCCGTCTCAATGGCATCAAATAGCAATATTCAGTATGAATATGTAAAATAATCGCACAAACCCAATATTAGCCCGTGAAATAATGAATCGTTACAATTGTAATGACTCCAGACTCAGACTGCAGAGGGTTCTTTTATTTAGCCATTAACGCGGTTTCAGACCCCAGGCGTCACGATATAGCAACGACGACGACGAGACAGCAATCAGCCAACACAGCCCCAAACCTCGTTACTCCCCCTCTCTCATTCTCGGCGTGAACCTCCGCCCACACTTGGTCTCGCCTTCCCTTCTCGAACTCTCTCTTGTTGTCACCACTTGTCCCTTAGTTCATGCACTGTCTTTACATCACCCACCTCTATGACCTCTACCTGACCCCGCCATGGGCGGAGCAACTTGGGGGATTTTCCCGGTGGCACCTGTAGGCAATACAACCATGCCCTGTCCCCCACTGCCCATGGAAGCACGTGTTCCCGCCGGCCCGAGTTCTTTCATTAGCTGATTGCGCTCTGGTGGGGAAAGGTCCTCGTTATGAATCGTTTCGCAACATTCAGGTCCAGAATACCTGCACTTAAAAACATGTAAACACTAGACGTAAAAATGATTGCAAATGAATAAAAACGTATTTTTAACAAATGTTTGTCCCTTATTTATTTTACAATGTTCATAGCAAAGACGTGTTAAGAGAGTTTCAGGTGGAAGATCTCCGTTACACAAGTCTGCCCTTAATCGGCAGCATCTTGGTTGTCTCCCCCATTATCATGTTCCTTAAGGGGAAAGGTCCACGTTGTTAATCGTTTCTAAGCGTACCAGTCCCTAATCCAGAAGCATGCCGTGTTAAACGATACTAAACAACCACGTAAAAACTACATACTGCAGCTACATATTATTACATTCCTTCCCTTTATTAATGCTACCCCTATCCCCTGCCTTTGATGCTGCTAATCCTGCATAATGCACGGGCATAATGACTTTCCCACTTTTAATGTAATATAGAGCATACTAATGCTTAACAAAATGGAGGAATTACTTTTTCTTTTTACTTCTAAATTGCATGCATGAAATTCCACACTTTTTAACGTAATATATAGGCTACTCAGGCTAAACACAACCAAGAAATGCACTTTTAGTTGAAAAATAAAGCTAGGAAAATTGGATTTCGATTTAAAGCTTTCGTAACTGCAGGGATTCATCTTCTTGGTTCTTTCGGTAAAGTCACGTAGAAAGAAATAATCTTTCTGACAGACCTGTTCTTCACCTGACGGCTGCTTGCGTTGTGGCCGAAACGTCGTGAGAATAATTTATTTTTTATTTTATTATTTCCATTCTACGTGACTTTACCGAAAGAACCAAGAAGACTAGGAAAATTGGACCAATTTTTCCAAAAACGGCCTAGGTTAGTATGGCGATTTTATTTTATGGACGTGAAAATGTCATCGAAATGTCGCCAGCGGTGTGCTGGAGAGCCAAGCAACGACATGTACAAAGTGCTGCTCATAGCGAGCAGCACCGATGGAGGTCGTCACGGCACACGAGGGGGTGGGTGGCCAGCACCACGCCCGGCCGCCTTTGTCTCCCTAGTGGCTTTGTTTACACACCACCGGGTACTCGTTTGAGGCTGAGTCGAAACTCGCTCCCTTTCTGTCAACAAACTTGAACTCTGACCCCGCTCTCTGACGTCACCGCTCAGCGTGACATCGGCGTCAAACGCCAGGGGGATGTTCCTCGCTAGTGACGTCATGTCACCCACCCCCGACCACCGCGCTCTTGAGCGTGACGTCATCTCTGCTCGGCCGCTGCCGATATCTGTCCCAGTGCCAATCCTTATTTGGGCAAAGCCACGCCCGGTACGTGGCGGCTCATTAACATAATTTATTCGTGAAAGCCGTCGCGAGTTGAGAGCCGCTCATTGTGGGAGGGGAGTGTCATCGTACCCCAAGTGACGTCATGTCACCTGCTGCCGCGTGACGTCGCGAGGGACCAGGAAGTTGCCGCTCCGCCCGTGAACTGAAATCCGAGGTGAGAAATTATCATCGCTGTTGTGGTGGTGGTTGTTGTGGTGTGGTGTTGTTGTGGTGGTGGTTGTTGTGGTGGTGGTTGTTGTGGTGGTGGTTGTTGTGGTGGTGGTTGTTGTGGTGGTGGTTGTTGTGGTGGTTGTTGTTGTTTATTGAGGTAGAGCCTCACTCTCTCTCTCGTAGGGATGTTAATTGAGTAGCAGCGAGCATGGAAGCGATGTCCAGGTTGGAACTTATCAACTTGGGGCCTTGCCTCCTGCCCTCGCCTGATCGCGTTTGCTTCAATTATCTCGCTTAAGTTGAATTTGTCTTGACCTGGCTCGCAACTTTGTAACTTTGTTTTACTTTATATATTCTCAGTTTTTCTTTTCTTTTTTTACCAGGCCAAGCCCGCTTGAGCTGCTATACCGCTCTTGTTTTCAGAAGTGACCTGCCCACAACAACAACAAGGTGAGGCTCGTCAACACGTGGCGGTGTTCACTCTATACACGTGGTGGTGTTCACTCTAGATGCGTGGCGGTGTTCACTCTAGACGCGTGGCGGTGTTCACTCTAGACGCGTGGTGGTGTTCACTCTAGACGCGTGGCGGTGTTCACTCTAGACGCGTGGCGGTGTTCACTCTAGACGCGTGGTGGTGTTCACTCTAGACGCGTGGTGTGTTCACTCTAGACGCGTGGCGGTGTTTACTCTAGACGTGTGGCGGTGTTCATTCTAGACGCGTGGTGGTGTTTACTCTAGACGCGTGGTGGTGTTTACTCTAGACGTGTGGCGGTGTTCATTCTAGACGCGTGGTGGTGTTCACTCTAGACGCGTGGCGGTGTTCACTCTGGACACGTGGTGGTGTTCACTCTAGACGCGTGGTGGTGTTCACTCTGGACGCGTGGTGGTGTTCACTCTAGACGCGTGGCGGTGTTCACTCTGGACACGTGGTGGTGTTCACTCTAGACGCGTGGTGGTGTTCACTCTGGACGCGTGGCGGTGTTCACTCTGGACACGTGGTGGTGTTCACTCTAGACGCGTGGTGGTGTTCACTCTGGACGCGTGGCGGTGTTCACTCTAGACGCGTGGTGGTGTTCACTCTCTGCATGTGGAGTGGGGACAACCGGGAGATCTGGAGGGAAATCCACACGACCACGGGGAGAGAGAGAGAGAGACACTAAGCTCCAAATATACAGCAGGCGTCAGGGTTGGGATCGAACCCACGACTTCCTGTATGCCAGGACAGGTAGTTAACATCTCACCACAGAGAGAGAGACATGCAGCCTCGGCTGTGTTGGTTGATCCTCAATGAATTACTTGGTGGAGTGAGGAAGCATTCATACTGACGGATGAAGGTAGCCAGGCATGGGTCTGGACACGCCACCACCTGTGATCCATGTCACTGAAAAACCCTGAAAATTTGATTCTTGTAAGAAAGAAAAAATCTGAAAGAAATCAATTTAACTAAATCGGATGTTTTTCACTGAAGGAAATTTTACCTTAACCCACTTCTACGTAATGTCGATTTTGGCAACTCGGAAAGGGAATGACGTGGCAAGCTGAATATAGTCGTGTTCACTTATACATTCCAGACAGCATAAGCTGTGAAAATTTCATGACGCCAGAGCTCGGCGTTGGAGAGTTTTTGCTGCTTCACACAAACAAACATGTAATTTCTGCTTAATATTTAAGATAGCAGTTGTACCTGTTCTTCACACGGATATGTATTGAAACTCCGAGAAGCCATTGGCTTCATCGGCCAGGAGCGAAGCGCCACCTAAATCTCCCGGCACGCTGTTAACAGCTCTAGAAGTATGGCACACGAAGAGCCATATGGTAGGGGTAAGCGTTGCAGAGCGCTTAACTCAGGTGTGTTGCGGGTTGACGCCACACACTCCATGGTCATTTCTCCCCCCCCCCCCCAAAAATACAAGTCTATTTTTTATAGTTTTTACATTGTGTACAGTATGGAACCTACCCACATGCCAAATTTCAAGTGTGTTGCATGTTGGGAAGTATGCTAAACATTTCGAACAGACACGTATCCACACATTTCCCTTTTATATATAGACTAGCTTTACTACCGCTTCGCCCGTGACTTGGATTCTTGTCTTGGATTAAAACAGTGCCTACACGGAGTGTTTGGGGGGGAGGGTGACGTCAGCAAGCACACTGCGTAACGCTGCCGCATGCGGGTGTGACATCACAGATGTGATGACAGATGTGATGTCACCGCTCACTTGCGTGCAAAATAAATGCATTAGTAATCCCTCGTTTATCGCGGTTAATGGGGACCGGAACCCCTCGTGATAGGGGAAAATCCGCGAAGTAGGATTGGCCCCCCTAGGAATTTCCGTATATTGTGTGTGGGTACCAGAATGTTTAAAATATGTATATTTATACTTTATATATATATATTTTACTTAAATCTATTTAATTATAAAACCTTAATATACATTCACTCTCTCTCTCATACGATACGTATTATGGTGTTCTACACTCACCAGTTAATTTCGAACACAACACTACGATACGCGAGACACAGTTGACAGCGTGAACGAGAGTGGCGAGATACAACAAGGGAAGAAGCTGGGAGACGATGCGATGATGTGCAGCCAATCAGCTCACGAGATACTGTACATCCACTCATGCTCTCATTCGTCACTCTCGCGCCGGGAACCAATCACGTGCCTTGTCTGAGTGCCCGTGGGTATGTCCAAAGCCTCTGAGAGAGTTTCTCTCTTTGTCTGGCATCCTGGGAAACCGTTTCTCTCGCGCATCATGATGAAACAACACTGCTTTCCGCAATACGGCTGCCGATATGGCGGTATTTTTTAATTTAAATTTTTCGATG